CTTGAGAGGGCCGCGGCCCTCGGCCCCCCCCGCCCTCGCAGTTCGCCCGCCTGGCTCAATCCTTCCCGCTCGCGCGGTTCGTGCGGCGGCGGAACGAGCGGGGGGGGCATGGGGGCGGGGCGGGGGGGGCCGGGCCGCAGGCTGCCACGGCAAAGGCCGTGGCGACCGCAGACAGCCGGCGCGCGCGCCGCGTCCAAATGCGCCGCGCGCAGTTTGCCTCAGCTCTACCTGCCCCTGCCTTCCCGCCGCTGACCTTCGACTTCGCAGTTTGCAGCGTCGCGCTCGCGCGGGTTTATTGGAGCGCCTCTACGGCGAGCTTCTACCACCGGCCATTTTCTCCACCCTGTAGCACGCAGCTGTCGTCAATAGCAGCCAGCGGCGGCGGCGCCCGACTGGGGCGGCGAATGCGGGACCGGGAAGGGAAGAACAGAACTGCCGGCTGCCGCGGCATGGGCAGCGGCCGCCGCAGCCAGCCAGCGCGCTCACGTCGTCTTCATACCAAGAGGCCCAGCTGGTCTGAACCCAGCACGTCTCGAACTTCCCGCCGCTGGCCCCAGGCCAAGCAACTTGCGGCCGCATGCGCGCGCGACTGTTTAACCTGCATTGAACAATTCAACGAGCTGTTTACCATCAGCCATAGCACGCAGCCTCCAACAACATCTCACTGGCGGCGCGGGGCGCGGATGCGCGGGCGGGGGCGGGGGGGGGGGCGGGGGCGGACAGACTGCGCGCCGCAAGCGAGGCCACCGCTTGGGCGGCTCAAACCTCACCGCGCCCAGTGCCCCCCCCCCCCCCCCCCCCCCTCGACCCACCTGCCTTTCCGTGGGGATGCCTTGGCCGCCTCGGTGGTCCATGGTCTCCTGGTTTGACGGGGGGCCAGCTAGGTGGGGGCCCCTGAGGGGCGGGGGGGGGCCGTTGAGCCGCTCGCCTCGGCGAGCGCGGCTTCCACCAGCCGCGGCCGCCGCCGCTGGATTGCGCGCCCCCCCCCCCGCGCGCGGCGGACCCCCCTCGCCTGACCCCGCAGTTCCCTCCTTGGGCACCCTGCGGCCACCTCGGCGGGCGCACGTGCCCTCGCGCCCGAACTCCGCCTGCTTCGATCCAGCACGATGTGCACGCGTCCATTCAGCCTACCTTGAACTCACAGCGGGCCGCTCCCGCCGCTGGCCGCCGCATCGCCACTTCCCCCCCCCCCTAACGAAATCGCGCCAATGGGTCACCCTTCGGTTGAAAAGGGGGGGAGGGACCGCCCCGCCCCCCCCCCACCCCCCCCCGTCAAAGGCTGGGGGAATGAGATTTTCGACCCCCCCCCCTCTTTGCGCCGACCAGGGGGCCAGGGGGGAGAGGGCCTCTTCTGCCAGGGGGGGTGGGGTCTGGCCTCGGGATAGTGAGTAGTGAGTAGTGCGTAGATAGTAGTGAGAAGTGAAGAGTTCGTCGTGAGTAGATAGTAGCGAATAGTGAGGAGTGAGGAGTGAGTAGTGACTATAGCGCAGTGAGTAGTGAGTAGTGAATAGTGGGGATTGGGGAGTGGGTAGTGAGTACGGAGTAGCGAGTAGTGAATCGTGAGTCGCGAATAAGGCACTGTGAGTAGTGAGCAGTGAGGAGAGAGTAGCCAGTAGTGAGTAGCGAGCAGGGGGTAGCGAGTAGGGAGTAGCGAGTAGTGACTAGGGAGTAGTGAGTAGTGAGTCGTGAGTTGTGAGTAGTGAGTACTGAAAGTGACTAGTGAGTAGCGACCTGTGACTGGTGACTAGTGAGTAGGGAGTAGGCGGTAGTGAGTAGCGAGTAGTGCGTAGTGGGTCGTGAAAACTGCGTAATGAGTAGTGAAGAGTGCGTAGTGCGTAATGGGTAGTGAATCGTGACTAGTGAGTAGTGAGTAGTGAGTACTCAATAGCGTAGCGACTTGTGGCTAGTGACTAGTGGGTAGCGAGTAGGGAGTAGGGAGCAGCGAGTAGTGGGTAGTGAGTAGTGAGCAGCGAGTATTGTGTAGGGAATAGCGAGTAGCGAGCAGCGGATAGTGAGTAGTGAGTCGTGGGTAGTGAGGTGCGTAGCGGGTAGCGAGTAGGGTGTAGCGAGTAGCGAGTAGTGGGTAGTGAGTAGTGAGTACTGTGCAGTGAGTAGGGAATAGCGAGTTGTGGATAGTGAGTAGTGAGTAGTGAGTTGTGGGCAGTGAGTAGTGAGTAGTGCAGTGTGAGTATTGAGTCGTGGATCGTGGCAAGTGGGTAGTGAGTAGTGATGTGTGATTAGTGCGTAGTGGGTAGTGAGGTGTGCTTAGTGAGTAGTGGGTTGTGAGTACTGAGTAGTGCATAGCGAGTAGGGAGTAGGGAGTAGTGAGTAGTGGGTAATGCGCAGTGAGTGGTGGGTAGTGAGTAGTGAGTCGTGAGTAGTGAGTCGTGAGTAGCGAGTAGTGAGTAGTGGGTAGTGAGCAATGCGTACTGAGTAGTGAGTACTGCTGGGGCCTAGGATGAAGGTTCGGGGTTTGGGTTGGGATTTAGGGTGAGATTGAGGATTAGCGTTAGGGGTGGTAGGGGTTGGGTTCTGGAGCCCGGGGGCACCTTGGCGAAAGGCGGGGAGGGGGGGGGGGGTCGTATTTGGCGGCCAAAGGGGGGGAGGGGGGGGGTTCGGACCCCCAGGGGGGGGGTCCCCGACGACGGGTCTGGAAAGGGGGGGGGGGTCCCCGACGACGGATCGGGGAAATGCGGGGGTGGTCCCAACCCCCCGCCCGTGGGGAGATCCAGCGGCGCGCCTTCCCCCTCTACCCCACATTGAAAATCATTCGTTTCCCTTTGCCTCTTCTCTTCCCCTCTCTCCTCCTTTGTCTGCTGATCGTCCCTTTTCACTTTGCAACCTACTGCTGGTGGCCCACCGGGGGGCACCTGGCGTACTAGTTTGATATCCCCCCCGCCCATGGGGCGACCGACCTTGGGGGGTGGGGGGAGGCCGCCTTGAAAAATTGAATAGCCGAAAGAAGAGGAGGAGGAAGAGGAGGAGGAGGAAGAAATAATAGGCGGACAAGGGAAGAGGAGGATAAGGACAAAGGAGGGGAAGGGAGGATGACGATGCTGCCGATGATGTCGACGAGATTTGATTAAACTCTCTTTCCGAACTCCTCCTCGTAGGCCCCTACAGGTGGTCATCTCCACAGGGAGGTGCCCCGTTTGGAGACAACCGCTTGAACATCTTGAAACGAGCCAAGGCACCAGTCCCGGGACTCAAACGCACGAATCATTGTTGCGTTTTGACGATCTTGAATCGTGCCAGGGCGCCACGTTCTTGGGTTCCAACACCCGGAATCCACGTCACTGTTACGCATTGCAATTCTGAGTCGTTCCTAAACGCCGTTTTTGATACGTTAATTGTGAGAATCCGTGGAACACTTGCGAATATTTTAAAAATGTGCGCGGTGCTCAGGCGATCGCCACATTTTGAAACATGCGCCGCTTTCCATCCGTGAATATCTTGCACAGTGTTGTGGCAAGTGTGCGCGGCGCTGTGGCGAGAGCCACATTTTGAAAACGACCCGCCCTCAATCCGTGAAGCCCCTTCATTTTTGTGAAGGACGAGCGTGAGCGGCGCTAGTGCGAGAGCCACATGTTGAAAACGGCCATCCCTCAATCCGTGAAGTTTTTGAAATTGTGTTAGACGCGTGTGCACGGCGTTAAGTTGAAAGACGCGTTTTGGAAGTGGCCCGCCATCCATTTGCTAAACGGTTGCCAACTTCTCAGCGTAAGGATCACAAGTCGTGAGGAAGTCTCAGGCGAAACGCCCGGCCCGCCGTTTCGACCAGCCATGGAATGCGACAGGGAGGAGTTATCGATAAGGAGTTGGTATGGGGAAAGGAGGGTAAGGCAGGAGGAGGAAGGAGGAGGAGAGGAGGAGGAGGAGGAGGAGGCGCGGCAGAGCGTGGGGGAGCGGAGGAAGAGGAGGAGGAGGAGGAGGAGGAGGAGGAGGAGGAGTGTGAACCCCAGCGTCCCCTTCGATGTTGGAATAAACCCTCCCTCCAAACTCTTTGTCAGGCCCCTCATTGCAACGGTTCATTTCCACCGAGGGAACGGCCTCGTTGGAAGACAACCGTTTGAAGACCCTGAAGCATGCCAAAACATCGTTCTCGGGATTCCAACGCCAGGGGTGAAGTTGCCTGTTGCGTCTTGACGATCCTGAATCGTGCCAGAACACCACATTCTTGGAAATTCAACTCCGCTGATTAAGGTAATTGCTGCACCCTCATAAAATCCCGAATCCTTCAAACGCACCACTTCTGCTACGCTGATCATGTGAATCCGTGAAGCTCCGGCAAAGTTGAATGTGCGCGGCGATAAATCGACAACCACACGTTGAAAAGGAAACGTTTTCGATCTGTGAACTGTTGCGAAGTTTAGAAAAGGAATGCACGACCCGCCGTCAATCCGTAAAACCCCTTGCGGTGTCGTAAAACGAATGTGCGCGGCGCTAAGGTGACAGCCACATTTTGAAAACGACCCGCCCTCAATCCGTGAAACCCTTGCGAATGTTTAGAACGAGAGTGCGCAGCTGTAAGGCGAGAGCCACAGCTTGAAAACCACCCGCCCTCAATCCGCGAAGTGCCGCATTTTTCAAAACGAGCGCGCGCGGCACTAAGGCGAGCCACATTTTGGAAAGGACCCGCCCTCCATTTGTGAAACGGGTGTAAATGTTTAATATTCAGGGTCATCACTGGTGAGGAAGTCTCAGGCGAAACGCCCGGCCCGCCTTACAAATTGGCCTCGGGCTGCGACAGGGAGCAGTTCTTCATAACACAAGGAATGGAAAAGGAGGAGGAGAAGGAGGAGAAGGATGGGGAGGACGAGGAGGAGGAGGAGGAGGAGGAGGAAGGAGGAGGAAAAAACAGGAGGAAGTAGGAGGAAAAAGTAGGAGGATGAAGAAGAAGTAGGATGATGAGGAGGAGGAGGAGGAGGAGGAGGAGGAGGAGGAGGAGGAGGAGGCGGGGGAGAGAGGAGGAGGGAGAGCAGCGGCGGGGGGCGCCCGAGGTCTGCGAGCTGTGCGCGGCCACCGGCGTGTGCGGGCCGTGCCAAGGCCGGGGGGCGCCAGCGAGAAAAACCTGCACCGCACCGCACCGTTTACACGCGGCGGGCTCGCGCCGCGCCGACGCGGCGACGAGCCTCGGCGCGGGCGCCGTGAGGCCGAGGGCCCGGCGTCGGAGTCCCAAGTGCATCAAACCGCAGAGCACTCAACTCAGACTCTCTGCGCTGCAGCCCCCGAGCGGTGCTGCCTGGCCGTCGGGATCCACGTGAACTACCCGGGCGCCCTCGATATCGAATCCGAGGGGGCCGTCCTCCAGAGACACATCTCGCCTGACGGGCGCTCGCAGAACATACCGTCCGACGAACCAACAACACACACACCCATACCCATAAGGGGGTCGGAGAGGGCTATGGGTGCGTGTTGTCGGAGGGGGGTCCCCGCTCGAGCGGGAGCGTTCCCCAGGGTCCGACAGCCCGCACCCATGCCCATAGCAGTGCTCCTCCCGACGACCCCCTATGGGTATGGGTGTGTGTTGCTCGTTCGTCGCAGCAGGGGCCCGAGCCAGGCCAGCCGTGAAGGATCTCCGCGCTGTCAGAACCGAGGGGCCCAAAACGGCACGAGCAGAAGCTTCCGGCATGGAGTGCCACAACGCTGGCAGGAGGCGGAGCATCAGCATCTTGCACGACAGTGTTTTGCTCGAGCTCGCAGAGCAAGCAAGGGTACAGCCAAAGTGACAGAGCCTAGGCCGCGCATAGAAACATTATCGCCAGAGCGCGCGTGTGTTGCCCATTCACTGCCAGCCTTGCACGATCTTCGCGATGTCTGAATCGAGGAGCAAAAAATACCCCAGTGCGACCCTACCTAGAATTTGGAGCCCCTAGGAAAGCAGCATTAGTTGCTATGCTATGCCATGGCATGCTATGCTGCGCTATGCTATGCTCTGCTATGCTATGCAATGCTATGCTGCGCTGTGCTATGCGGTGCTGTGCTGTGCTGCGCGATGCTATGCTATGCTATGCTATGCTGCGCTATGCTATGCTGGGCTATGCTATGATATGCTGTGCTGCGCTATGCTGTGCTACGCTATGCAATGCTGTGCTCTGCTATGCTAAAGCTCAGCGAAGCTAAGATGAAGGTAAGCTAAGCTAAGATAAACCTGAGCTAAACTGAAGCTAAGCTAAGCTAGGATGACATAAGGTAAGCTAAGATGAGATAAGCAACGCTAAGCTAAGGGGACGTAACTGGGGGAACCGCGGGGCGGATGCCGGGGGAACCGCCTGGGCCAGTTCCCACTGCCCGGCCCCTTTAAGATACAGGGTAAGAACCCTTCTAGGCAGAGCCTAGGTAGGGAATGACAGGAACACAAGCTTTCGGCGCTCCGCGCGGAGTTCTTGGATCCGAACTGGGGCCCCCTGGCGGCGCCTCTGGTCCCGCCCCTGGCACACTGAGCTCCGGAAATCTATGTTTATGCCGTTTCGCGCTCCTCTGCAGAAGCCACCGTCCACGGCAGCACGACGGGAACCAGCCGTACAGCCAGTCTTGGCCAGGCCACTCCTGAGCCCGGCATCGGTGTGTGAGCGTTCCTGGCCGAGCTGGGAAGGCGTATGCACCGATCCAGGGCAGAGGAGGTGCCCGACCAGGACCCCACGATCCCATGTCGTGAGCCAAAGTCACAACTTGGCGTGCAAAACGTGACGGGCCGTATCTTCCTGAGCCATGTCTCGGCCGGGTCGGTCCGTCCTGTGGCCCGCAATTTTGCGGGCGCGCCCGTTAGTTCCCAACCATCCTGTGGTGTTGGGTCCTCGTTTTGAAAGGACGGTCCCCGCGGCCCTCCTCTCCTCACTTCTCCTCTCCTCCCCATCCTCCCTCCTCGCCATCCCCCCTCCTCCCTCCTCCATGCGTTTCACCCACCCACTACAGCGTTTCGTGGCCACATCGGGAGCTCCACGCAAGGCCCCAGTGGGGTGGCCACATGCGTCCGCCACACCCACTACAGCGTTTCGTGGCCCCATAGGGAGCCCCACGTAATGCCCCAGTGGGGGTGGCCACATGCGTCCGCAACACCCAGTACAGCGATGCGTGGCCCCATGGGGAGCTCCACGGGAGGCCCCAGTGGGGGTGGCCACATGCGTCGGCCACACCCAGTATAGCGTTTCGTGGCCCCACAGGGAGCTCCACGCAAGGCCCCAGTGGGGGTGGCCACCTGCTTCCGCCACACCCAGTCCAGCGTTTCGTGGCTCCAATAGGGAGCTCCACCCAAGGCCTCAGAGGGGATGGCCACCGGTGTCCGCCACACCCAGTACAGCGCTTCGTGGCCCCATAGGGAGCTCCAAGCAATGCCCCAGTGGGGGGGGCCTCGTGGCCCCCTGGGGAGCTCCACCCAAGGCCCCAGTGGTGGTGGCCACATGCGCCCGCCACACCCATTACGGCGCTTCGTGGCCCCATTGGGAGCTCAACCCAAGGCCCCAGTGGGGGTGGCCACGTGCGTCCGCCACACCCCGTACA